AACACCCTTATTTTTAAACCTCCCCCCCCCCCCCCCCCCCCCCCCCCCCTCAGAAATGGTGATTTTCAGTCAAAAAAATCGGTTTTTAGATACGCACATGGAAAGATAGCCTAAAGTGTCTACTTTCAGAACCTGTATCGCTTTTGGTTACAAAAGTGCTTTTTCGCGGCTTTTGAACAAGTTTTCTAGGAGCCTCGAAAAACCGGGTCTTCAGATAATAGTTTTTTTCTGCATACTTATGCAATTAAAATTTTTCTAAACACACAGATTTATAGAGCAAACTTTTCTAATCAAAATAAGGCCTCACGCAATTCTGTATGGCCTTGCGTCAAAAAGTTACAGGCATTTTTCTAGAAGTCATAAAATTGAGTATTTTATACAGCGTTTTCTCTATATAAGAGCTACATCTGAAATATTTCCCAAGATTTTTTATAGTGGTTTGTCGTAGAGAGTTTATTCTTTTTTTGTTTAAAAGAGGGAAAGAAACTACATGGGCTGACCGATTTTTGAATTGGGTCTTAGTTTTTTATCAGATTGAAGATTTTTAGAAAACTTGGAAGCATTTTCCGGGTTTGGAGGTTGTTGGTTGACTGGAAAACGAACAAAGGCCCTTAAAACTCGTTTTGGTGCTGCATTAACAATTTTCATGACATGATACTAACTGTTGAGGTAATTCGAAGAATTTTGCCTAACTTTCGTTTCAATAATACAAACAACAGAAGAAAATAAATATTGTTGTCGTATGCTTATTCATGACACTCACTGTAAATCGATGAGCACTGCAGTCAGATCTTGCTCAACATTTCTCTCTGTATAAAGTGCACGATCTGTATGTGTAATTGAGACATGCCGAAACATTTAGTGATCAAAAGTATCTTTTTCTGGTGATCGAAAAAATTGATACCCTTATTTTTTGTATCTAAGTTTGTCCACGCCTCGGACTTGGAAGCAAATACGCAGAAAGAAGACCCTGTGAAATATCATGAAGCATGGCAATTGCTCTGTAGTGCACATGGAATTTTGATACCAGGTGGATTTGGATCGCGCGGTATTGAAGGGAAAATATCGGCCATTGAATGGGCGAGAACACAGCTAAAACCATTCTTAGGTGTGGATCTTTCGTATATTCGAAAAAACACATCGAATTAGACACATACATGTTCAATGCTTAGGTATTTGTCTTGGTTTACAATGTGCCGTTATCGAATTTGCTCGTCATGCACTTAATTATAAAGGGGCTAATTCAGCTGAATTTGGAAAAAGTGATTATTCAGTGGTAACATAGTTTATTTTTCTGTTTCTCTTATTGTTAACAAGATGAAGTCATATCTTTTAGATTGTTGAAATGCCAGAACATAATCCAGGTACAATGGGAGCAACAATGAGACTCGGTCGAAGAACAACTATTTTTGTTAATGAAAATAGTGTCATTAGTAAGTCATTAATGGACTCAGACATTTAATCCACTATGTGCAGTGTGTCTGTAAGAGAATTTTTGTCAGTCAGTTTTGCTAGAGAAAATCAATTTTTTATGCTTGTATGTACGTACTACACATTAGCTGAATCTAATAAATGCACATATATACATCTAAATACAGTACTTTATGCATTTAAACTTTTAGAAAAACTTTATGGAAACGTCAAGTCGGTTGATGAAAGACATCGTCATCGGTATGAAGTAGGTGTTCAATCATAGCAAGCTATCGAGAGTGTCCATGAATATGTTCTTAGGTGAATCCCGAATTTGTTGCTGAATTAGAGCAACATGGAATGAAATTTGTTGGACGAAGTGAAGATAATGAACGTATGGAAATAATGGAACTTGAAAGTACATTTGATACTTAGCGTTTTTATTGTTTTTTTAAGAAATTTTTCATTAATTTAGATCATCCATATTTTGTTGGTGTTCAATATCATCCAGAATATATCAGTAGACCATTGAAACCATCAGCACCTTATCTTGGCTTAATATGGGTTTGCTAGAAATTAATAAATTGTTCAAAGATTTTTATCGAAGCAATTTTCTTTTAATTTACAGGCGGCTTGTGATGAATTAAAGAATGTTTTGGAAAATTTATCAAAACATGAACAATCGCAATCTGAGAAGTGTAATGCACCGGATATTGTTAATCCTCCACTTTTTCAAGAAAAATCAGTCGCAAATAATCATTCCTAACGGTTTTAAGTACTGTACTATTTTTGGAACTACATTGCGTTTTTTTCACGTTCAAATTCGTTTTGGGCTTTTTGTGTCCTAATACAGTCGTTCATTTGTCTTTTATTACTTTTTATCTATAGAATTTACATTTTGGTGTTATTATATTCATTTGTGTATTTGTTATACTTCAAAGAACAGTACAAATATATCGATGCTCAGAGCTGGCTCGAGACACTCAGGATTCGGGAGCGAGATTTTTTTAACGATTTTTCTAAAAATTAAACTGCTTTTCTACAAAAAGAAATTGTTTGGGGGGGCTCCACTGAAAAATTTTCACTGCACTATCTTTTTTTCAAAATATTTTTTCATTTGGCTGGTGAACAAAATCATTTTCAATTATTTTGTGGGAGATTGCCTGCCCCATCTCCCTGCTCGAATCACCTCTGTCGGTAGTGTGATTTTACCGCCACTATGTTAACTATATGAGACAACAGTTCACGATTGCGCCGTTGCGAAGGTCGATCAAAGGAAGATTTGGGCTACATTTCTTATCTGGGAACGAACACTATCGACTCACGACTCTCTGGTTAAACTGTTTTCCAGTCGTGTTTTTATTTTCTACAGGGGTCTCTGTCATGCTGATTCTTATTTACATATTTTTTTCTTCGTCGGTTCATCGTGACTCTTTTAGTGCTTTAGTCTGAATCGCTGGCTTTTACAGATCGGTGACCTTTGGTTAACTCTCACTTTTCGTGAATAAATTACTTACTGTTAGGAATTACGACAGCGTATTTGTCAATAGTTATAGCCAGATCAAATTCGTCCGATCGGATCCTTTTAATTCCAGCGATTTCAAGAGATCAGACGTCCTAGCGGATCCGAATCCGCCCAGTTCCTTTGCATTCAGATCTATCGAAACCAAGACTTATTGGAAATAATAAGCCGTGATTACTGTGTTTATGCACGAACATTATTACAAACATTGTACACAACTGATGAATTATATAATGGTTTAATTCGACCAGGCCAGAAACAAAACAAAAGAAATCCATTAGAACAAGCGCGATTCGATATCATCCACGGGACAATTCAGTCAAAATATCGGATAGCGAAAACAACCTATGAAAGATTTTATCAGTTGTTTGTTCGTCCATCGTTAGTGCAATTGATTGTCGACGAAAGATCAAGATAAGATAAACGAAAATCCAAAGCCACGCAACTAAACAGTCAGCAACAAAATAATAGTACTCAATCAACAATAGCTCAATCTCTCAACGTAGTCGAGGGCACACCGACCGTTTAAGATAACAATCACACTCGAAATTGACTCGAACGTTGTTTCTTATAAAGAAACATTAATGAAAATAAAATTGTTGTTAATTTGAGATTTGTTGTAAAGAACGACTTTTCTGTTAAATGTTTTTTGTTGAATGAGTTACTATATTTTATAGACAAAATACTAATAATAAAATGGCTTATGTTGAAACATACAAAAAAGGTCATTGAGCTACAATGACCAGCGCAGTAGAAATTCTTCTAGTAATGAAGTTAAACGAGATACGTGATGTGCACTCAAGGATCGGCTAAAAAAATCATTTAATATAATCTTACAAGCTCTGGTGACTTCCTGCAAGATCATATGATATCTTATACGATCTTATGAGATCTTACAGCTTCTTATGTTACGATCTTATAAGATCTTACAAGATCTTGTAAAAGCATTCTCCTTATAAAATCTTATAAGATTCTTTTACAAAGATATCATACAAAATCTTACAAGATCTTATAAGAAGTCAAAAGATCTTACAGGATCTTTTGAAATCTTATGATTTCTTGGAATAAGATCTTGTAAGACCATAGGAAATCTTTATATACGATTGCTCGCCCTGGGTATTCATTAGTGAAACTGAAACTGGTTTTTACAATTTAGTATATAGCAAAAGTGAAACGAAAGGTATGTGGAACAGAAAACAAATCGTTTCGGCTAGGTATATCTCTTTATGCTTTAGATAGTACATAAGGCAACAGTCACTTATGCGTACAAGCAGAAGTCTCTCGCTGGAATGAGTTAATAACAACCCAGGTGAAACACGTCTTGTAAGACCTTGCAAGATCTGATGTTTTCTTGTGAAATCTTGTAATAAGGTCTTACGATATGATCATACAAGACCTTATTATAAGATAATATAAGATCTTATGGAATC